TTTATATTTGGATTATGTTTTATGTAAACAATAACGAAGTACATTTTCATGAACACCTAATATTTGAGCCATAAATAAAGATTTTTTAAATGGATTTGATGAACGAGAGATATGCACTAATATAAAATAACAGCGACAGATAAAAATGCCCTTCATTCTATCCAGTTATATTATACAACAGGTGTACGTCTTAAATTATTATGGTATCATAGCATAATTTTATTATACACTGGAGTACCGTATTCTACTATTAAACTAACACTGCACAAAAAGTAAAACAGTAAAACACAGAAGCCCACCGTGTATACAATGTGCATTATAGCTATACACTACTACTTTATGTTAATTAAATTATATTTTACACTAGGTATACAGTTTAAAATTTAAATAACACATAACTATATATTATAGGTACCGAAATGTCTTAATACATCAAGCAAAGCAATTATAAAATTATAATAATATAGTTGATAATCTTAAATAGTAATACACAATTTACATACAGTTGAACGTCCATTTTTTTGATATCTTATATCCAACATTCGCACGCCATACACATGAATTAATGTACAGCTTAAGTCCAAAATCTATTAATACAATGAAGATAATGTAGATAATGCAGAATATTATATTTTCTGCGTGGTTAAATATATAATTGATAACTGGTAATCTGTGGTAACAGGTGATTATTATAACTATAATAATATATAAAATATAGGTGAACAAAATATATGCTGTTCACGTGAGTGGTATACATATATGTTATAACAAATATTTTTTTGCTTGGTAAAGAAGTTTGAAAACGTAATGCAAGATAAGATCCCATATAAATAGTATAATAAACTACATTAATAGCAATATCAAAAAACATACCATGAAATGCACTTAGCAGCATAGACTAAAAAACCATCTCTATTCAGAACCGTTTTTGTATAAAATGGTAATGTCGTTAAACTTAAATTTAACATATCCATGATCATAACATTCATAACCTACTCGACACTAATACAATGGATAACATTGAACTGAGTCACGCAAATACTTTTGAATTATCAAAGTTGAGCCCGACCAATATTAATTAAAAAATATTAAAAATAATAATAAATAAAGGTTCTTTTTACCTAAAGAATAATTTTTAATTGACATTTATAGAAAAATACTAAAAAAAATTGAAAATTTGTCACAACTATAAATATTTCAAAAAAAGTTAAAATTTGTTGAACATTTTTTCATAATATAGGTATTGAAAATAATAATTTCAAAATTTCAAATACATACTTATCTTATTATTTTTGTAAATATAACAAAATATTAAAAATTGTTTAAGGATAAATCATCACTTTACGGGTGAATATCTAAATTTATCTTTAACTTATATACTTATCATTTTTTAGTTTTAAATATTCCCTCATTATATTGTAATATATATTATTACCTATAACTGTTTAGTTTCAGTTTTTAATTTGAAGCACACATGTTCATGAATATAAAAACTTATTATTGTTATTAAAATAAAATAAATATGAATTATGATTTGAAGTTCATAAAAAAAACATCGATTTGAAAATTAAAAAAAAAAGCAATTTTTATTAATTGCAATTATTTGGTGATTTTTGAAGTTGACAGAACAAACTGGGAACTTCGTCCTTATTGTCAGACAATCGACTTGACGTAAACCTTAATTGCAAAAGTTTCTATTTTATACAGAGATCTGATAAATATATGCAATTGAATTCAAAATTAAACGTTTTTAATATTTAATAAAATTAAATAAAAATTCCGTTAGATATTGACGATATTTTTTTATATAGTTTTGTATTTTTTGTGTTGTTTACATAAATTATTACATAATAATTATTACCATCGACAGTAGTAGGTATAATAGTAAATCTACGATTGTTTTTAGGCAAAAATTAAAATGTAAATAATACTATTATATGAAAAACTGTACAAGTAACGATGAAAAAATTAAAAAAATTGAGTACTTGCTTAAATTTATTAGAATATTATTTGCATAATAAAAAATTATTTTTATTTCAAGAATATTATATTTTTATAAATGTATAATTTTTTTATCTGCAAGGCTTCAATTTTTCTTCACTCGTGCAAGGCTCAGTCGTAAAAATGTATTATATAGGTATACAAAAATTATAATATATTACATAACTAATTTGGTCAGAATATAAAAATAGTCTAACTTTAATTGATACATTCGTTTATTGAACTGTTTTCATTCATTTTCATGCATATTTTTTTTTAAAAGACAAATTTTACGCGTATACATTTTTGATTCAATATAATGATAGTAAGTTTCTATATCATCACGGGAAACTTTTCATCTAAAGAAATTATGAGAAACGGAAGGAATTCGTGACCTGCTTCTTTTATGATAAAGTATTATAAAATTGCACGACATAAGTTATGTAAAATGTATATCGTCCAGAAGCAAAACCAACGACGTGTCTAGTATAGAAAAGATACATGAGTATAATAACGGGTATTGATTGAACGCCATCGAACGCGCAATATATTTCAATTACATTTACATGTAATTTAATATAATATTTAATACATACTTTACTGTACGTGTTCGTTATTCGTAAACAAATCATTTTCTTCGTATAAAATAACAAATATGATATTTAAATAAGAATAATAAATTATTACATCAATTGAACTTATCAAAGTACTAGGTATTATTCAAATAATAATCGTTCGCTAAACCAATAATAATAGGTGATAATAGTTTTACTTATAAAGACTATTTGTCAATAATTATATTTTACAAGAAAATATAAAAATGACATTCATAACACACAAAAAGTGTCAATGACATATTTAAACATAGTTAAGGTTAAAAAAAAATATGTTATTTTTATTAATACATGATTATACCAAATTAATCACTCTTCATAAAAATTTAAATAATATATGGTCCTAAGATAATCGATAACATTAAACATAACGATATGTATATTTGTTCGTTATCGCTGTACAATAAATATATTAATTAAAAAAAATAAATAATATTATAATCAGAAAAATGTATATAATCAGACTATTATATCATTATCGAAAATAATTTTCGTTGTCTGAGACCAATAGCCCTTGAAAATATCATCAAATAATAAAATTGTGGAGGAGACAGATACATGATGACAAATTAATGACGTGAAGAATACGCGTCAAGGTTAGTGCGGTCTGGCTAATTGTAATCCTATACCAAATGATCGTATGAAACTATGGCAGTCGCGACCAGCACAGCCCTGGTGGTCACAATCGGCATAAAGTGGAAGCAAGAATCCGGAAAGTCGTAATAAGACGGAGTTCCGTCGACGTTATTGCAAAAGAATAAAGACGTCCTCCACGTCGTTAACGCTCAACAGTCGACTGGCACGCAAGTAACAGTGTTGGCAAGCTCGGATTAAAGCGGTGGCAGGGGGGTCATAGCGGACAGGTACGTTTTTTCTTGTCTCTGAAATCTATTTATTTGTGGGACACCAATATTTTGATTGTGGTTATGGGACCCTAATATTTTTTGGCCCCGGGCCCAAAATAAAATTATCTTAATCCGAACTCGAGTGTTGGGTTAAGCGAAAGAACGTGAATCGACGTTGCGCGATATGCCACTTAGCTGACACGTTCCTGACCGCCGGCAGCGTGACGGTCACGGCCGTCATTTACTCGGATGCGGCTAAGCGGCTAGCGAGATGTCCGTGCTGGCATTCCGTCACGACGAACGACAGAACTCTAAGGGGCCACTAGCGTACCGGCGCGGGCGACCACGTGACCCCCCCGGTATACCGATGCCGGTGATGGCCACTTATTAGAGACTCACGGCTGTTAGTGGTTATGTGTTTTGTTGGGCAAAAATATTGTCAGCAGTGCCTACTATAGTGCGGCTAGCGAAACTAGAAGCTTGACGGTCATGCTCCTGGTAGTCGTTTTTTATCAGGGGTACGAAGAACGCTCAATTTCGAAAAAAAGATCGCGCAGCTACACAAGCAACTAAAATATTTAGAGCCCCTGGTTTTCACGAAAACGGCCACCAGGAGCGTGACCGTCAAGCTTCTAATTTCGCTGGCCGCACTATAGTAGTATAAAAAGAAGCGTTCAAAAACCTCATCCCCGGGTTAGCTGACCCTCAACCTAGTACTACACCGTCGCCGACATGTTAGTCACATTGAAAAATACATTAATAACCGATATTAGTAATTTCCTAAACAGAATAGACTTAAAACCGATATTCACACTCATTAGCTTAATATCTTAACAATAGGAGTCACTTCCTCCCATCAGATATGAATACTTATTAGGAATAGATCAATTAAACCTACAGTTAAACATCAAGAGACACTATATTGAAAGACATTTTACTCGTATTGACAAAAATAGGTATATTATCCGTATTCAATTCAATATTCACACACCGTCTAGACATTAGGCGATTTCTAAATAATCATGAATAAATGCCTATTTCGTTTAATGTGTCCTACCGGTGCCAGGATGTCGCAGACTAAAGATATTAAAATGCCTAAGAATTAAGCCTAATTATTGTCACCAGTATTGATAATGGAATATATTTTTATAAATACAAGTCCATCCGAGTTTTTTGAATCAGTCTGTGTTCGACACCCATGCCCATGTGTGGAAATTTTGCTTTCTACTGAACCGTATTTTTTCAGTGTTTATTTTTACTATTATTTTGCACTCTGTGTTTTCCAAGTGTTTAATTTTTATACATTATAATCATGTTTAAATGCGAACAGTGTTCTTCAACGTTCACGCGTAAGGACAATTTGAAAGTTCATAAAAAAAAACATAACGGGATACGATTTACATGCGCTATTTGTCCGTCGACATTCAGCTTCAAAACTAACCTCAAAAAACATATGAAGAATATTCATGGTATGTATTTTTATTCTTCCACAATCTTATTTATTTTATTTTAATTTATATTTTTCAAAGGTATGATTAACGTACTCAATCTTATACCCGCTTCAAGAGATGTTGTAGACTTTTGCTCTGTTGATGACATTATATTTATATATTTCAAACCAACGCGTGGCAATCTGCTGAGTTGCGAATAATATTAACTCGTTTAATATACAATGTTTTGTTTTTTGTATGTTTTCACCGTGGTTGCTTGCAATAATCGCGATCATGTCATCCATAAAACATGTTTTCCCACTATGCAAAAAGGAAAAATGTACGGCAATTTTCTCAATTTGATCTTGTACCATAGGTTTGATAAAACTTATTTTTCTTGACGCACTTTCAAAAATAGTCTCCAAATGTTGAATCACCATAAGATCCTTTCGGTTAAGTAAAATTCGACATCCGATTTCGGTTCTCGATTCAATAACTAGTACGGTTTCTCCTTTATATCCCATACTTGAGATCGAAATAGACTCGGTTTCGAGCAAAATAAACCTTTTATATTGAACAGCAGTATCGAGAATATACGATAAAATTTGCCCCATCAAAGAATAAATACGTCTTAAGAAGTCCGTAGATATTTTAACAAAGCGTGATGGTGTAATTATAAGAATTGACACATCGAATTTCTTTGTCTGATCCAGACCAACATGTAAAAACTTACGTTCAGAAAAGTCTATCGTGAAATTTGTCGAATCGATGAATACGGCCGGTGGTGTAGGTGTTACGTATTTGAATGTACCAGCTATAATTAAAAATAAAATAATTTTTAAACACTTAAAAAAAACTCACTAAAATTTTTGAAGTCGGAGCGAGCGAATGAGAACGATAAATGTGTAGGGGAAGACTAAACCGATTCGGCTATACTCGGTGATATACTGCCGGCTCTTTCAGTCCGGTGCTTCGAAATTATATAGGTTGGAACATTTTTCAATATTAATGGATTTTGCTGGAATGCAATTAGTTAATTGAATATGGAAATGTTTACTATAGAGTTTTAAGTATTCAGGTGTATTAAATATATAGTGGGTATTAAGAGTCTACGACATCCTGACGATTATTATGCTAATAGACAGGCCGATACAGATCGAAAAAATAGTTGTGATTTCTATACATTTCCGTGTTAGCAGATGTCTACTCTATTAAACATCGATAGAAATTGTCATTTTACTAATATTGTTATTAATAGCTTTTCTATACATATTCATGTTAGTGGATGTCTTAACGACTATCAATACATTCTATATAAATGTTAATGTCTTTTCAGTGCCAATGAGTTTTCTATAAATTTTTGTATATTATTTTCCCAGGTATACATAAATACATTGTTAAAATATTTTTATAATATACGTCTAAGTATACGGTAACGAAATAATATCATGTATATGATATGCGCGCGAAAAATAATGACTGATAACACTTTATTTGATAACTGATAACATTTGATAACAAATGATAACAGCGACAAACGTATGTCACGCATGTACGTGTGATCGGACGGCGGGGATGCGGTTGCGGCGGCCGATGGTGTGGAGAATGCGGAGGGCGGTGGCAGCGGTGGCGACTCAGGGCTCAGGCTTCAGAACATACCATTTTATCCTACTTATAGTGTTATTGACGAATATTGCAAATGAACAAAATTCAATTTCCGCCCCATGCCGGCGTCAAAAAGTCCAAATATCTCCAAGTCCCATATAATATACATTCATAATCATACACATCGGTAAGCGTCATGGAATTTTGTGCCAGCTTATTTTTCTAAATACCATTGCCGTTCACGCGTTCACCATTGATATGCACCTATATAGAAATTATATTTTATAATATTTGATACAAGTCAAAATGCATGTTATATAACTTACCAATAGTACGGCATTATATTGCAATGCATTGACATTTGAATGATATTGCATTGGTTATTAGTCACTTATTACGAAAGTTCGATTTTTAAAGCTCTAAAATATACGCTTATGTTATATTATGACTCGATAAACTTAAAAATATGCACTCAAAATGAAAAAAAAAATCATTAACAAAAAGGATTAATTTGATATAAATATTTAAAAAAATGTAATTTAAATATAATATGTAATTGATTAATTTAAAAAAATAAAACAAAATCTTTAAAAATTGGATTTTGAATGTTCTGAAAAAAATACACATTTATATATAATGTAGGTAAATATTTACTAAAAATATGTTGTTTTTAATAATATGTTAATCTTTGTGATTGTATTGAGCTATAAGGTGTTTTCGTACGTTTTCGAATCGGAAGGGTCTTCTATTAACGGCTAGAATACATTTAGATATATGCCAAAAGGCAAAAATAAACGTTCCATCTCGACAGAAGTAATAGAAGCATTTTTGAAAATACTAAATCATAAGTACTTTTTCAATTAACCATTTCTGTTACTTACATTTGTCGATGTAACAATGGGTACTATAATATTAATATCATACCATATTTATATAGACCACAATGCATTTGTCGCAAAAGTCGCGATAAACAACGGACCTAGCTATCATCGCGTCGCTGCGTTCGCAGTCGACGTTCGTAATCGGTACGAAAAGTTGAAAATAGTTGTTCGCGTTACTTTTACGCAGATATTCATATATATTAGTATTAGTATACTATTGAAAACTTAGTTGATCTCGCACGCTCGCGCCGCTATACGCATATGAGCATTTACATACTCCGTGATTATTATATCTATAGTTATACTTGCCATGCGTCGTTCAACATCAACATCTGCCACACTTTTCGTCTCACCAATCATCATCACTATTTTCATTCTTCACCCATGCACACTATATAATATACGGTTACGTGATTCGGGTATATGCCTCGTTAAAACTTAAAACCGTTCAATTTTTTATGATTAATTGTTATTATTATTATTATTGTTATCATTTGTCGTATGTTTGTGTTATATTAAAATATCACTTATTATTATACGCCAGTGTCGATTTTTTTTTTTTTTTTGATTTTTAAATACAGTCGAATTTGCTTATTACGATGCGTATAATATTATAGCGATATTCCGAGTAAAACGATTCCAAGCAATGTATTTGGTTGATTTTATATCTTATGTGTAGTGTGTAGTAATAATAATCGTATATAACGATATCGGTTACAACGATAATCCGGATATAACGATACTGTTTTGAAATGAAAATGGGTTTTTATATTCGCCTATAACGATTAATAATACATGCCATAAGTAGTAAATTTTATTTCATTTGAAGCAATAATCTTTAATCTTATCTGTAACAGATAATATGTATTGTAAATATATAATACGACACGTATATTGTATACGGAATATTTATTTAAACTTAAAGTACCGTCTATTTCGGAAGTCGGAAGTTTATTCTTATATTGATTTGGTGTGTATTTTTGTTTCGGTAAACAGCGATATAAATACACCAGAAGTATCAATGGCATTAAAAAATATTTATAATTTTGTTAAAAATCTTATTCAAATTATAAACAAAGCACTATAACAGTTTATTTTTCAAACAGATCGTAAACATAATATATTATGTACCTACTATGCATGTATGTACTTTTATTAAAAATTATAAATACATTTGATGTTAAAATATGTGATCTTAAATAAAATATGTAATACAGTGAAAAATGTGTTTAATAAATCAATTTTTCAAAAAAATCAAATTACTTTTTACAATCTGATTAGGTATAACGAAGTTCAATCATTACGATCAGTTTCTCTAAGTCCCTTTAAAATCGTTATTAGCGAATTTGACTGTATATGTAATTCTTCTCTGAAATAAGGTTCATCACACCGGTACAATATGTGTATACTTATGTGGCCAACAATCTCGTCATACGTATTGAGATTTGGTACGTTTTAATCTCAGATAACAACATGGTTTTCGGTTTGTTGAGTATTTATAATATCGTTCATGTGTAACATTTTTCTGACAGATAGCTACACAAATAGTATTTTTACACTTAAAACAAATTTTTTTAATTAATAGTTCAACATTTTAAATAATATATTTTGAATGAATCAATAATAATTGTTAAATATGCGTCAGTATAGCAAAAAATCCAAAATATGCAAAAAATGTGCAAAATAAAATTTCATATTTTGAATTTTTCATATTATAAAACGTATTTGTTTATCACTGTGATATGTTTTATATCACTTAGGTATGATGGATATGAAAATGCTATAAATGCCTTAAATCCCGAATTTTGGTTCTTATTGTTTATTGTTTTTAAATATTCTTATTTTCCATCAGTAATTCGCCAACGACCATACCACGTTGAATACACCAGTTCTCGTCCGATCACTGAAGTTAAGCAACGTCGGGCGTAGTTAGTACTTGGATGGGTGACCGCTTGGGAACACTACGTGCCGTTGGCTTTTTTTCTTTTGTCAATAAATACAATTTCAAATTAAAATAAACAAATTTTTTTTACAATTTTTAAATTACACGGTTATCCAGTTATTAAGGTCTGCGCTTCAAATAGCGAGACCCCATGCAAAATAATTTAAACAAAATAATACATAACAATTAATATTTAATTAAATAATGTATTCTTTAATTTTTAGCTCAAATAAATTAAATAAATGTTTACAATAATACATATTTTAGGCGAATTAGAAGAGCACTAGAAAGTGAGATATTGAGATCCCAAAATAATGTTATCGACAGGACGACATACTTATACTCTTTAGTTAGGTAATAACTCTACCAACGAAACCACGAAAATGCCAATAATATTTAAAGTAAACCATACTATCAACCATAATATTATAAATGTTAAATAATTTATTATATTTTAACATGTCATTATGTCAATAACCAGTATTAACATAAATACCTAACTGTTGTCAGTAGTATGAAAAAGGGGATTCAAACACCGCCGCCGCCTCTCCGCCTTTCCACCACGGACGCCACTGCAGCCGATCGCGCGGCATACATATTATCAGTTATCACATATTATTGTCATCACACTTGTTATCAGTTATATTATTTTTATATACGTACTCGGTTTATATTTTACCGCTGTTATTGTTATCAATCATTTAATTAAATATCGATATTCACACAATACCTTGCAAAAATGCAACATAATCATATGAATATTCTCACAACGTATAGTTGTGTACTTGGGGAAATAATATACAAAAATGTGTATTAACCCTGATACGATCTGCTTATCGTCCACGACCGGTCGCCAGGTTGTCGCACACTAATGATATTAAAATGTCTATTAGTGAATAACACACATAAATAACCGATATACTTTTTGTTTATAAAATGTCATTTTCGCCAATGACGCCAGGATGTATATTATAAAAAATATTTTAACAACAACGTATAGACCTAACCCTGATATCATATGCTAATTATCCCCGGCCGGTCGCCAGAATCGTGTCGCCAGGATCATGTTGCCAGGACGTCGCCAACTCTTAATGTATATCCCTACACCACCATTACCTTTCACATATCCTATATTCAATTCATCGATAATCAATGAAGAACGCATGTCGCTAGATGTCGCAGACCCTTAATAGACGCTATATATTTCAATTCCAGCAAAATCCATTAATATTGAAAATCGCACCTAACCCTGATACTATTTGCTAATTGTCCCCGACCGGTCGCCAGGATCATGTCGCCAGGACGTCGCCGACTCATAATGTATATCCCTACACCACCACCTCTCACATATCCCATATTATTCAATTCATCGATAATTAATGAAGAACGTAATATATACCTATATATATACAAATTCGTCTTAATATATATTCTGAAAGAGCCAACAGTTCTTCAGTACGTTTTAAGCCGTTGTACACACATTTTGTCTTCGAGTATTTCTGAGTGTTTTTAAATGTTTATACTTTATTTTTTTCGTTCGTTTTTACCTTAAAAATTATCAACATGTTTAATTGTAATCAGTACCCGTCAATGTTCACGCGTAAAGACAGTTTGGTCAGACACAAAATCATACACCGAAGAATTCGTTTTCTGTGCTCTGTATGCATCAAGACATTCAGTGCCATGTCAAATCTTAAGAGACATGAGAAAAATGCTCACGGTATGTATACTTATTTATTTTACGTTGTGAGAATACTGAATATTCATACAATTATGTTGCATTTTTGCAAGGTATTGTGTAAATATCGATATTTAATTGAAAACGTATAATGTTTGCAAGGCGCCATAGTGGTCAAATGTCTTTATTGTTAAGATAGTGGTTATTAAAAGTCTACGACATCCTGGCGACACGAGCAGGTCGTACGAATTTCTAAATAGTCATTTATTTGAATACGGTAGCAGGTGATACACATAAAATATATGTTTATGCACGATTAAATTCAAATGTATGATTGAAAACAATAACGGCGGTAAAATATAAGCCGAGTACGTATATAAAAATAATATAACTGATAACAAGTGTGATAACTGATAGCATGTATATGCGAAGGCCGTGGTGAAGAGGCGGCGGCGAAGGTGGAGGCAGTGTTTGAATCCCCCTTTTCATACTACTATTGTCTAGGATATTATTAAACTATTATTTCAATTGTAATTTGAAAAACATAATATTATTAACAATGTTATATTTTCTAAATTATAATATTTAGTTACTAATAATTCGTTTTTTTGGAGTAAATTCCGCTTTCGAAGGGCTTAAAATTTTCGTTTGACTTGTGCAAGGCCCTTTAAAGATGTACTTCATTATCGACAGTTCTCCTATACCTGACAATGATTTGTGCAAAAATATAATTTTGCGTATAGTGGAGAATAATGTTTTCATTGATATAAAAATCATGAGGTGTCATTCACAACTAAAACAAATTTATCAAAATGAATTATTCTACACGCTGGAATCGATATTTATCTGCATGTAGAAACTTACTGTGACTCCATTTACAGAAGTTGAATTTTCAATAAAATTATCGTGCATTAAGATTCCCAACACACTAAATTTAAGACTGAAAATACGTGCAAGTGATCCAGCATTTAACGCCCATTCCACAACAAAGGAACTCTACGACTCTATTTAAATTCCTCGAAAAGTATGAGTATTCATAGATATGAGAACTCGTTGGAGTGTATTTTCAATTGGAGTGTTATTTAAACCACTGGAAAAAATGTTTATATATTTCAAAAAAAATACATTTAAAATTTTAAAAAGAGTTTTTTTCAAAAACTTACCCATTCCGAAAACCTTCTCTGACTATAGTGAAAAAATCAAGACGTATTAATAAATCATTTTTCCTGGTTTCACGATTCTACATGCGGGACAACAAAACTAATAACATAATATGAAAAATACTAATTTACTCGATATTCTGAATGAAATAATATAAGGTTTTACTTGGTGTATACAAAGAATATTAATAATAAAAAAACACTTAAAAATAAAATTATAGTCAAAGATAAGATAATTGTACAATGTAATAATTGATATAAATGCATTCAATGGTTGTTTAGGTTTGCAGCGAAGTGTATACGATGTATATAGAGGTGGATTTTAGGCACTACAAACTATGCGGTTGCATAGGGTGGCACATTTTCTATAAGTATACATTTTATTTATGTATAGACGTATAGGTATATATTTACTGAATCTTTCAGTAGTCAAATAAATGATATGGCGATGTTGCACGTAAAGTCGTTCTCAATAGTATTACTTTTTTTAGGTCAGCAATAAATGTTTTGTTAATTGTAAGCAGTGTTGGGAATAGATAACTTAAATATTATCTAGATAAAGATAATACATTATTGATAG